TTGCTCAAATTTTTTGTGTAGGTTCCTCATCAAGTCTAGTTCATCCATACCAAATTTCAGCCAAAAATTCAATCGGGAAGGTCGTCAAATGATTTTTGCAAGTTAACTGGTCCGGAATATGTATTTTCCGGACTAGTTAACTTGCAAAAATCATTTGACGACCTTCCCGATTGAATTTTTGGCTGAAATTTGGTATGGATGAACTAGACTTGATGAGGAACCTACACAAAAAATTTGAGCAAAAAATACCACCGGGAAGGCCCCCAAATGGAGGAGGCCGGACGGGGCTCCGGTCAGGTATACCTGACCGGAAGAGTACTCATATATATATATATATATATATATATATATATATATATATATAGAGTAATGATCCGGTCAGGAGCTCCTGACCGAAACCGCCGTCCGGACCAAGGCGTTTGGCCGCCTTCCCGGTGGCTTTTTTTGATGAAATTTTTTTGGGATGTTCTCCATCAAGTCTAGTTTATCCACAAAAAAATTCAGCCAAAAACTCAATCGGGAAGGTCGTCAAATGATTTTTGCAAGTTAACTGGTCCGGAAAATACATATTCCGGACCAGTTAACTTGAAAAAATCATTTGACGACCTTCCCGATTGAGTTTTTAGCTGATTTTTTTTGTGGATAAACTAGACTTGATGGAGAACATGCCATAAAAATTTCATCAAAATATTCCACCGGGAAGGCGGCCAAACGCCGCGGTCCGTACGGCGGTTCCTGTCCGGACGTCCGGACAGGAATATTTCTCATATATATATATATGTGTGTGTGGATTCCCCCACCCACTCGGGTAGGGTCACGTGAATGCGCGATGTCACGCTGATCTGCGTGCTTTTATTGGGCTTGGCCCTTCACTCTATGAATATACACATCCATCCGGACAAAACAAGTTGGGCGTTTGGTCTAGTGGTATGATTCTCGCTTTGGGTGCGAGAGGTCCCGAGTTCGATTCTCGGAACGCCCCTTTTTGAAGAGTATATACAATTTGTATAATTAGTGGGCTGCACTTCTATTTTTACCAAAACAAACACCGGCCATTAGACATTCTCATCTCTATATATATATACTCAGTATATAAAAACATTTTTATTGATTTTTTGGAGAATGGAAACCAATAATCCCATATTTTTTGACTTTTTTGGGGGGAAATAATATAAATAATCGAAACTTTGAAATAGTGTGAGATAAATACCTCAAATTTTCTTATGTAATGTATATATCCCGAACATTATATAGTTTTTGCATCATGATTTTTTTTTTACAAATATAAATTTAATGCAATACAAGTACTGTGACACCGCGCCCATATGTACTTGAAATTGAAAGACGACATGTATTTGATTTTTCCTATGCGAATAAAATTCGTGTAATTGATTGGTATATTTAATTAATGCATGATTAATTAGATTATATATCGGGTCCATTATATGAGAATGAGCTACCAAATATTTAGTTGGGTTATCCTAGTAATTATAGGAGCCCAATAAAATGCCAACCGAAGTTGATAAAAATATTTGAACAACCCGAGTGCTATTTTGGCACAACCTACCGAAAATAGCAGGAATAATTGGGAGAGACTTCCTACACCCACTTGGGGTATTCTACACACTAATTAGACCCAAAAAAAATAGGGGAAGGGGGACCACACGAAATGGCTTATGCGGATGATAGGAATGGGAAGCCTCATTGAGACAAAACCCACCCTCTTTCTTTTTGGCCTTGTCTACACCATGTTGGAGTATGATTGAAGGAGGATACCCCCTTGCCTTCTACACCATTCGAACCAGCTAGGGAGAAAGAGCTCAAGAGGAGTCTTCACTGAAGAAAGCAAGAAGCTAGGGAAATCCAAGAGAAAAGCTTGAGGTTGAGGTAAGAACTCAACTAGTACCTCTTTAACTAGTATTGTTTCATATGATTTTTAAGAAATCATATGGTGGATTAAACGTGGAGTTCTACACGTTTAAAAGTGTGGAATAATGTTGTAAAGTGGTGGTATTTAACTTAGAAGAGTCGTGGAATCGATAGGAGTTGAAACCGCCGGAAACCGCCACTTCAAGGAAGTTGTTCGTAGTTGCAGACCACGAAAGCCGCCCAGCTTTCGTGAAAGCCGCCCGGCTTTTGCTGACTGCCCAGATTTTTCATTTTCAACCGGTTTAGAACGGGGATTGATCGGAGGGCTTAACAAGGGCAACTAATTCAGCACTTCATAAGGTGAGGATGGCTGACTATATTGCTTATAATCTTTGGGTTAATTTCATAAGATTACCTAAAGTAATTAAATGTGATTTTCATGGATTATTAATGATTAATAATGCCTAAATGAAAATATCATTGTTTGTGAATAGAAGATGCATAACATACAAATTTATGAGAAATTGTGTATGATGATGCATAATAAATGTGAAGGTATAATGATTGTATGAACCATGAATTTTGTGATAAAATATACTTTTACTTCATGTATAGAAATCATGAATGGATAAAAGTGATATTTTTGACATTGAGATTAAAACGTATACGGATTAGAAAATCCATAGGGATGGGCCTTATAACTATGAGTTAAGGAGCTTGGCTGTTTAAAGATTTATGGATTAGTATTTAATTTACTAATCGGGAATGTTGTATAAAAAGTGATAGAACAAATCCTAAGGACTTGGATTGTGAAGGATGCACCTTAAGTAGTCTTATGAGATGCCTTAAGGTAGGAATGGGTAACCACTAAGTTACATTAGGAGTAGGCCTCATTGGCTACTCAAGATTGAGGAACTCTAGGCATAGAATTTGCTAGTGAGTTAGTATCGTGACTAGAGGAAGCCTCTAGCACGATGAAGAATGACTGGAGGAAGCCTCCAGCATTCGTGTAGGACGAACTAGTATCGTGACTAGAGGAAGCCTCTAGCACGATGAAGAATGACTGGAGGAAGCCTCCAGCATTCGTGTAGGATGACTAGAGGAAGCCTCTAGCATAATGTAATGTGACTGGAGGAAGCCTCCAGCACAAAGTATGTAAGGTGATTAGAGGAAGCCTCTAACACCGAATTTAGTGACTAGAGTAAGCCTCTAGCACGGTAAAACATGACTAGAGGAAGCCTCTAGCATGGTGAATTAATATAGATGGGCGTGACTTGAAGTCACGGGGAAAGGGTTGAACGTTTTTAAAGTAAAACATGGGTCTTCGGGCCGACTACTTGACTTTATATATAAAGTAAGTATATTTTCAAAGAGGGTAACCACGGGTTATGACCTATATTATATTATCACCCTATGTGAGGGTCTTGGAAATTGAAACTTTGATTATACTTAGTATAGTTGTCATTGTACTTGTCAAATGCTTCCAAGTACTGACCTCCCCTTCACGGGGGAGGCCACCTCACAGTTTCAGGTAGGACTTGAAGGTTGCTACCGCCGCCGTTGCTTCGGGGAGATTCAAGGGAGGAGACGTGGTTCGTGCTTCTTCCGTTCCTGTTTTGAAAACATTTTAAATATTGCTCATGGATACTATTTGAATATTTATTGGGGCTTGTACGCCCGTGTTTGCCACGTGTGGCATGGATATTTGTATTAACGTTTCCGCTGCTTGATTAAATATTTTGCATTATGATTGTTTATGGATGTACTATTGTGAATGATATTCATGACGCCTAGTATAGTATGGATGAGTTGGACTGCGGTTGACTATTCGTACTGTACGGCGGGTTGTTGACGTGTCCGGTAGGTCCGGGGCGTGACAATTTAAATTGGTATCAGAGCCTTAGTCCGTAAACTTCATAATGAAGCTTCAAAATCCTTTTTGAAAATGATTTTGAAAACCATGAGCATAAAGTTTTGTACTTATAGAACTTTTGGTACTTGAGTTGCAAGGTCTCTAATTGTTAAGATGGTACCCTTAACAATTGGCATGGCGGCGATTTGAGCCAAGGGATGTCTTTAAGTGCCTATCCGTCATTTGACATTTGATACGGGTCTAATGACTCAATCTCTATCTCTTTCAGAAATGGAACGTACCGGTAAAGTCACTCGAAGAAACCCGACTGGCCAGGCACGGGGAGGATCCCAACATGGCAGTCGAGGGGCATCGAGGGCGTCTCGTGGGCAGGGCCGTGCTGTGACACCGCACCCAAAAGTCCTTGAAGATTTGATTTAAATATTCAAAGTTTATGTATTGGATTTCTGATTCCCAAACATTTGTAAAACGATTAATGTTTTACGTAATTAATGATCGAATATTGTACTGTTCAAACTCGTACATTAGTGTCAGGTTTTGAAAATACTTATTCGGGACTTATTAATAAATAAAAGAGCCCAACATTATCTATATAGTGATACATAATGTGTCAAGGCAAGTCGAGGAAGGGCGGGCGGCCCAGATATTATTTTGGGCTCAACCTGCTAAAAATAGCAAGTATTCGAGAATGGCGCTCTAGACCCACTCGGGAGTGACCCACACGGCTAGTAGCCCAATAATATGTATGACAAATGTCAAATAAGTGATAGAATGATTAAAGAAGAATACAAATGCCTATAACCCCATCTTTGGCATTATTGAGCTAAATAATGGGAGTAGGATTTTCCTTCTACAATGTCCATCTTGTAAGAAGTTGGGATGATCCTACACATATTGGAGATCAATAATGTAATGTAGGAAGTTGACTTGTTCTAAATAAATTAGGATGAGTACTAAAAGACATCTTTTGACAAAGATAAAACAATAGGACCCATTTTCCCCATTTTTTGGAAGTATTGGTAGATATTTTGGACCTCAAATTGATTGGGATCAATTGGGGGGTATCCCATGTGGCTTGAGTACCTTCAAGACAAGGAAAATATGTGAGAGGACTCACCTTGGCCGCACCACATGGAGAAGCATTGCCCATGACACAATTGGGATCAAATTTTGGGGCCACCACCACTGTTTTCGCACAAACAGGTGTGCTGTTTTGTCTCCCTTCATTTTGAGAGTTGTACTCGGCCAAATGAGGTGTATAAGGTGTCCTTGGATAGCTTTTGAAGTCTATTTTTATAATTGAGTGGCCACAGTTCGAGAGGAGAGAGCAATCATCCAAAAATCGATCTGGAACGAGCAGAGGTCTGTGAACTCGAGCTGTGAGAGTGCTGAGACTGTTTGGTTGATATCTCGAGTTATACCAATCCAATTAAGGCGTGTGAGATACCAAAAGAAAGCTCTCAAGACGAGGAATCCGTGAAGGTCTGGTTTGCATCAATCGGAGTAGAGGAAGGCTTCCAAATCGTCCGAGCAGAACGCGACCTCGCAGAAACGGATTTACTCTTCTAAGTGAGTTGTTAATCCCAAAACCTTTCCACTCATTTTCCAAAGGATAAGAACGATTGGTGGGACTATTATACACTACTCCAAGTGTATAAAACGTCCCTATTAAGTTATTTTATTGATGTAGAGGTTAGATACTAACCTAGATGCAAATATTGGAAAACTAGGAATCGAGTTAGCCGGAAAACACCCGTTCTAGGGGCTGTTTTCGTATCAACGATTAGGGGTTGAAATAGCAACTTGAGGAGGCTGTTTAACACCCATTTTCAAGCAAGGAACTAGTTCTCAATCTTCCTTGGCCGAGGCTTTGGTCATTGGATCGAGAAGGAAGGTTTTAAAGCTCATTTGAGGTGAGGACCGACATCTAGTTGCTTACAACTTGTAGGTTATGCATGAGATTACCTAAATGCTCAAATTATGTTTTCCATGGATTATGATGATAAATTATTGATGAAATATTGATCTACTTTCCAAAGAATGAAATGAGAAATGATTTGGTAAAGTATTGATAAAAATGGGATTAAGTGAACTATTGTGTGAAATAGTCATTTTATCCATGTGTGAATTGTGTAGATACATAAATGATTATTTATGTATTGCATTGAATGATTAAGTTGCTGCTACATATCTCTAAATATGTAGGGTTATACAAATGGAATATATGATGGATAAGAATAATCTTAATAGTATTGAAATACTAGTTAATGATTGTTGTAATTGTTAAGGGAATTGAATCTAAGGATTTGATTATAATTGATGTACTTGATTGTGATGCAAGTGACAAATTTGATGTAATGTGATGCTAAGACCATGGTTGGGCAGTCCGTAGGGATGCCCCAAAATAGATTATTGATATTACAATTCTAGGCATAGTGAGTGCTTAGGAATTGGGGTCTATGCCAATGTAAGGAGATGTACTTGAGCCCGTGCTCATAGAATTGCATTGGGTAGACATGATGAGGTGATTGTTGTGCATGGTGATGTAGTTGAGTTGGACTCAAGAAATGCACGGTGGAGTAGTTAGCTTATGTTAATTAAGGTGCATGGTGATGTAGTCGAGTTGGACTCGAGAAATGCACGGTGGAGTAGTTAGCTTATGTTAATTAAGGTGCATGGTGATGTAGTCGAGTTGGACTCGAGAATGCAAACATATGTGTTAGGGTTGAACCCTATGTATCGTTGTGACTAGGGGTCACGGGATTTTGGAAAATGTTTTATAACAAACATGGGCCTTTGAGCCGGCTACTTGACTTTATATAAAGTAAGTATATATTTTGAAAGGGGTAATTTGAGATTACGGCCTATATTATATTATCACCCTATTTGAGGGTCTTGTGTGTGAAATACTTGTTGTATATCTATTAGATGCCTGCCACACCAGCACTTTATAGCCCTATAGAGTGCTGACCCCTTCGGGGGCGTCCCACCACCATTTTTCAGGTTGAGGCTAGAGCTTGCTTCCTGTGCTCGTTGCTCGAGAGATCATATAGGAGGGAAGACTTGGTTCGTGCTTCCTCCATTCTGTTTTCAAACACTAATAAACATGCTCATGGATATTTTACTATAGAGCCTGCGTGCTCATGAATAGCCACGTGTGGCCCTTTTGTTTTAAACAATGTTTTCCGCTGCGTTATGAATTACTTATTATGTTTGTTTATGGATGTACATGTGTGAATGATATTCAAGACGCCTTGTATAATATGAATGTGTTGGACTGCGGTTGACTATTCGTATTGTACGGCGGGTTGTTGACGTGTCCGGATAGGTCCGGGGCGTGACAATTAAGTTGGTATCAGAGCCTTAGTCCATAAACTTCATAATGAAGTCTCAAAATTCTCTTTTTGAAAAGATTTTGAAAACCATGAGCATAGAAGTTTTGTACTTGGAGAGCTTTTGGTACTTGGGTTGCAAGGTCTCTAATTGTTAAGATGGTACCCTTAGCAATTGGTATGGCGGTGACTCGAGCCAAAATGTGTCTTAAGTACCTATCCGTCAATTGACATTTGATACGAGTCTAACGACTCTTTCCGAATTTCTTTCAGAAATGGACGGTGGTGGCAGGATTACTAGGAGAAACCCGACCGGCCGTGTACCAGTGGAGACTGGACAGGGCAGTCGAAGGACCTCTAGAGCATCTAGAGGAGCTGGCCGTGGAGGCCGATCACAGACCGTGAGTGACGGTCATGTTGACACAGAAAGTGAAACCTACTGGTCCTATGAGGACTCGACTTACCAACCGGAAACTGAGCCGGTTGAGACCCCTTACGAAGGGGATGACGATGATGTAAGTGATGAAGAGGGGGAGAATGACTCCCTAGCAAAAATTGAGGCGCTGCTCCAACAATATCAACGGGAGCGCGAGGAAAGGAGGGAACGCCGAAGGCGCCGGGGAGGGCGAATTTCGGGTGAGGCTTCAAGAGGAAGAAGCCATGGCGATTCTCGGGCCCATGTTGAACCACATGGGGGCCGGGGTGATGGAGGTCCAATCATAAGGATCTCCAAGTACATCAAAGAGGCACGAGATTTGGGGTGCAAACCCTTCAACGGAGCAGGCGACATCTCCGTCGCCGCGGAATGGATCAAGAGGTTGAACGAGGCAGCCCTTGATATGCAACTCACCCCCGAATTTAAACTAAGGGTGGCGGTGAGATTGCTTGAAGGTATGGCATCCACATGGTGGGACGGAGTCAAGGGAAAGTATGGCAATACCGTGACTTGGGAGAATTTCCGACAGGAGTTCTTTGCCCAATACTATTCTGATTTTGAGGTGAACGCTAAGAGGAGAGAGTATACCCTCCTGACCCAAGGAGGCAAAATGACGGTGAGGCAACTTGAACACAAATTCAGGGAGCTCGCGGAGTTCATACCGGAGTATGTCTGTGACGAGAACCGGATGGTAAATCACTTCTGGGATGCCTTAGACTTGGAGGTGCGTGAGAGGGCAACACAGTTGCCTAACATGACCTTTAGCCAAGTGGTTGAGCAGGGATTGAAAGGGGAGAAGGAATGGGAAGAAAGAAAGTTGAAGAACGCCGAAGAGGCGAAGAAGAGGAAGTGGGAGAACCATGGACCTCAGGGTCCTAATAAAAAGGGGAACCATGGGGGAGGAGGATCCTTTCGGACACTCCCACTGCCATCTAGGGGAAGTCAAGGCCCGGGCGGGCAATCGCAGGCCTCGGGGGTGACTCGTTGCAAGAATTGCAAGAGGAACCACCCGGGGAAATGTCGTGACCCTCCTAGATGCTACCAATGCGGGAGCACCGGGCACATGAAGATGAGTTGCCCACAACTGGGCGGAACGAGGGCATCAGGACCAAGTAGCGGGACTATGGGGACAAGGAACCAAGCCGGGGGTTCCCAAGTAACCAGGGGGCAAGGGGGAGCAAGCGCGAGCAACGCGCCATCCGTGAACCAAGGAAGGACCCAGGCTAGGGTCTACGCGATGACGGAGGCGGATGCTCAAGCTAACCCGGATTCCGTTGCAGGTATTGCCTCTCGTATACTAGTGTTTTATCCTTAATTAGTCCATAAATTGAGGTTACTAATTGTTAGGATCATTGCACGAAGCTTTGGGGTCGAACCGGGAAGGTTTAGGACCATTTCAGGCTGTTTTCGCCCAGGCACGGTCGTGCCTAAGGCACGCACGATCGTGCCTGCAAGGCAGTAGCCGCCTGCACGTTTCCCCGATCCAGGCACGGTCGTGCCTAAGGCACGCACGATCGTGCCTGCAAGGCAGTGTCTGCCAGCGAATTTTCCGACCCAGGCACGATCGTGCCTAAGGCACGCACGATCGTGCCTCCAAGGCAGTAGCGTCCAGAGTTTTTCCCAAGCCAGGCACGATCGTGCCTACCCCAGGCACGCCGTGCCTGGCACCCAGATTGCCGAAATGCGATTTTTTTTCGCACCGTTTTGCGACGTTAAGACTTTTTCTTGATCCCTAACGTGCGAGTGAACATTGTAACCTTCTATAAATGAGTAGGGAGGGTAGGAAAGATGTCTTACATGGTTCATGAATGTAAGGACGCTAAAGATTAATGGGAAGGATGCGCGAATCCTTATCGATACCGGGGCGCAACGTTCATTTGTGAATGAAGCGTTCGCCAAGAGGTTGGGAGTGCAATCCGCACCATTGATGCAAACCTTAGTGGTATCAACACCACTAGGGGATGACGTGGAAAGAACTTGTTATTATCCATCTTGTGGGGTGGAGGTTAATGGTCAAACCTTGACGTGTGGCTTCGTACCGCTGAGCATGATTGAATTCGATGCAATCCTAGGGATGGATTGGCTAGAAAGGAACCATGCTAGGGTAGATTGCCACACGAAGGTTCTTGAACTCGAAGGCAATGATGGGAAGACCCTACGCTTCGAGGGCGATCGAGGGAGATCAAATAGCTGTATCATATCCGCCGTGAGAGCGAGAAGTATGATGAGGAAGGGATGCCACGCATATCTAGCATACGTGGTCGACAATACCAAAGAGGAAACGAACATCGATGATGTGAGGGTGGTTTGTAAGTATCCGGATGTCTTCCCTAAAGACCTACCGGGACTTCCACCCGATAGAGAGATTGAATTTGTGATCGAGGTCGAGCCCGGCACCAAACCAATCTCCATACCGCCATACCGTATGGCACCCGCTGAACTTAACGAGTTGAAAACCCAATTGCAAGAGCTTTTGGATAATGGTTTCATTAGACCAAGCCACTCCCCGCGGGGAGCACCGGTTTTTTTTTATGAAAAAGAAAGATGGGACACTTCGAATGTGCATTGACTATCGTCAACTGAACAAGGTCACAATCAAGAATAGGTATCCTCTGCCTAGGATTGATGACTTGTTTGATCAACTACGAGGAGCAACCGTGTTTTCGAAGATCGACTTGAGGTCGGGGTACCATCAATTGAAGATTAAGGAAGACGACATACCAAAGAGTGCTTTCCGCACAAGGTATGGGCATTTTGAGTTCCTTGTTATGTCGTTTGGGTTAACAAACGCCCCAGCGGCATTCATGGACTTGATGAACCGAGTATTCCATAAATACTTGGATCGATTCGTGATTGTGTTCATAGATGACATCTTGATTTACTCAAAGAGTGAGGAAGAGCATGAAGAGCACTTGATACTCATTCTTGAGACACTACGGGAGAAGCAACTCTATGCCAAATTTTCTAAGTGTGAATTTTGGCTAAAGGAGATTGGCTTTCTCGGGCACGTGGTTTCAGGATCGGGAATTGTTGTTGATAACAAGAAGATAGAGGCCATTACCGAATGGGAGAGGCCGAAGAACGTCAAGGAAATTCGTAGTTTCCTTGGATTGGCAGGCTACTACAGAAAGTTCGTGGAGAAGTTCTCTGTTTTGGCATCACCATTGACGAAGCTCACTCGTAAAGGAGCTAAGTTTGTATGGGATGACAAATGTGAGAAAGGGTTCATGGAACTAAAGAAGAGATTGACCGAGGCACCGGTACTTGCATTACCCAAACAGGGTGTGGGGTACGATGCCTATAGCGATGCGAGCATCCAAGGGTTTGGGTGTGTGTTGATGCAGGAGGGGAGAGTAATTGCCTATGCTTCACGACAGTTGAAGAAGCATGAGGTAAATTACCCTACCCATGACCTGGAGCTGGGAGCAGTAGTGTTTGCACTGAAGAATTGGAGACATTATCTCTACGGAGAGACATGTCACATATATACTGATCATAAGAGCTTGAAGTACGTGTTTACTCAGAAAGAGTTAAACATGAGACAGAGACGGTGGATGGAGTTGATAAAGGACTACCATCTAGTTATTGAGTACCATCCAGGCAAGGCAAACGTTGTAGCAGACGCCCTGAGTCGGAAGAGTTCGTCTGGGGCATTGTTTACTGGTTTGAGGGCACTGAGGGCCCAATTAGATGTATCTAGCGACGGTGCCTTATTGGCACGATTTGAAGTGAGACCGACCTTACTTGATGAGATCAAGAAGGGTCAAGTGACTGACGCAGAACTTATGAAGGTCCGGGAACGCATGCAAGCGGGGCCAGGGGAGGATTTCAGGGAAAGAGATGATGGTTTTTTTTTTAATTCGTGACCGAGTGTGTGTACCGTCTGATGAGGAGCTCCGTAAGTCCATCTTAGAGGAGGCTCATTTATCGTCTTATGCCATGCACCCAGGGGGCACAAAAATGTATCGCGATTTGAAAGAAAGTTACTGGTGGTCTGGTATGACGAAGGAAATAGCTGAATACATTAGTCGATGCCTTACTTGTCAGCAAGTTAAGGCAGAACATCAGCAAGAAAGGTGAAGAAACAGAGGAGTAAAGAAGTCCCAATGGTTAAAGTACTTTGGAAGAGCGACCGGGTCAAAGAAGAGACATGGGAAACAGAGGCTTTGATGAGGAAGCAGTATGCTTTCCTATTCGAGTAGAGCTGTGAATTTCGGGGACGAAATTCCTGTTAAGGGGGGGTGAACTTGTGACACCGCACCCAAAAGTCCTTGAAGATTTGATTTAAATATTCAAAGTTTATGTATTGGATTTCTGATTCCCAAACATTTGTAAAACGATTAATGTTTTACGTAATTAATGATCGAATATTGTACTGTTCAAACTCGTACATTAGTGTCAGGTTTTGAAAATACTTATTCGGGACTTATTAATAAATAAAAGAGCCCAACATTATCTATATAGTGATACATAATGTGTCAAGGCAAGTCGAGGAAGGGCGGGCGGCCCAGATATTATTTTGGGCTCAACCTGCTAAAAATAGCAAGTATTCGAGAATGGCGCTCTAGACCCACTCGGGAGTGACCCACACGGCTAGTAGCCCAATAATATGTATGACAAATGTCAAATAAGTGATAGAATGATTAAAGAAGAATACAAATGCCTATAACCCCATCTTTGGCATTATTGAGCTAAATAATGGGAGTAGGATTTTCCTTCTACAATGTCCATCTTGTAAGAAGTTGGGATGATCCTACACATATTGGAGATCAATAATGTAATGTAGGAAGTTGACTTGTTCTAAATAAATTAGGATGAGTACTAAAAGACATCTTTTGACAAAGATAAAACAATAGGACCCATTTTCCCCATTTTTTGGAAGTATTGGTAGATATTTTGGACCTCAAATTGATTGGGATCAATTGGGGGGTATCCCATGTGGCTTGAGTACCTTCAAGACAAGGAAAATATGTGAGAGGACTCACCTTGGCCGCACCACATGGAGAAGCATTGCCCATGACACAATTGGGATCAAATTTTGGGGCCACCACCACTGTTTTCGCACAAACAGGTGTGCTGTTTTGTCTCCCTTCATTTTGAGAGTTGTACTCGGCCAAATGAGGTGTATAAGGTGTCCTTGGATAGCTTTTGAAGTCTATTTTTATAATTGAGTGGCCACAGTTCGAGAGGAGAGAGCAATCATCCAAAAATCGATCTGGAACGAGCAGAGGTCTGTGAACTCGAGCTGTGAGAGTGCTGAGACTGTTTGGTTGATATCTCGAGTTATACCAATCCAATTAAGGCGTGTGAGATACCAAAAGAAAGCTCTCAAGACGAGGAATCCGTGAAGGTCTGGTTTGCATCAATCGGAGTAGAGGAAGGCTTCCAAATCGTCCGAGCAGAACGCGACCTCGCAGAAACGGATTTACTCTTCTAAGTGAGTTGTTAATCCCAAAACCTTTCCACTCATTTTCCAAAGGATAAGAACGATTGGTGGGACTATTATACACTACTCCAAGTGTATAAAACGTCCCTATTAAGTTATTTTATTGATGTAGAGGTTAGATACTAACCTAGATGCAAATATTGGAAAACTAGGAATCGAGTTAGCCGGAAAACACCCGTTCTAGGGGCTGTTTTCGTATCAACGATTAGGGGTTGAAATAGCAACTTGAGGAGGCTGTTTAACACCCATTTTCAAGCAAGGAACTAGTTCTCAATCTTCCTTGGCCGAGGCTTTGGTCATTGGATCGAGAAGGAAGGTTTTAAAGCTCATTTGAGGTGAGGACCGACATCTAGTTGCTTACAACTTGTAGGTTATGCATGAGATTACCTAAATGCTCAAATTATGTTTTCCATGGATTATGATGATAAATTATTGATGAAATATTGATCTACTTTCCAAAGAATGAAATGAGAAATGATTTGGTAAAGTATTGATAAAAATGGGATTAAGTGAACTATTGTGTGAAATAGTCATTTTATCCATGTGTGAATTGTGTAGATACATAAATGATTATTTATGTATTGCATTGAATGATTAAGTTGCTGCTACATATCTCTAAATATGTAGGGTTATACAAATGGAATATATGATGGATAAGAATAATCTTAATAGTATTGAAATACTAGTTAATGATTGTTGTAATTGTTAAGGGAATTGAATCTAAGGATTTGATTATAATTGATGTACTTGATTGTGATGCAAGTGACAAATTTGATGTAATGTGATGCTAAGACCATGGTTGGGCAGTCCGTAGGGATGCCCCAAAATAGATTATTGATATTACAATTCTAGGCATAGTGAGTGCTTAGGAATTGGGGTCTATGCCAATGTAAGGAGATGTACTTGAGCCCGTGCTCATAGAATTGCATTGGGTAGACATGATGAGGTGATTGTTGTGCATGGTGA